GTGTCTACCTTCCTGGATGACTAAAGGCCACAAATTGTTGTTGTCACCCTGCATTTTGTTTGCTTAAGGCACAGGGTGTTGCGGTGGAGTCATTACTGGCTAGCACTACCAGTGTCTCAATTAAGAAAGGGAGTGTCCCTACTTCCAGGAAACAATCAGAGGTCCCCACGCCCTCAAGGATCCATCAATTAATGGTGAAATGCATTCCCTTTGCCACCCAGCCTCCATTGTCTCAAAGAGAAGGTGATTGAGAAGCTCACCAACTCAATCTTGGTATAAGACGTTGCTTTGGAGTGGGGTCCTGGCTTGTCAGACTCCCCAGTGATCAGTTCTGGGCTGTATCTCTTGATACATCGCCCATGGCACGATGCCTTGGCAAATAAGAGACATGGCTGAGCTGTCTGGAGCTGCTCTCTGGTAGGGAAGCCGATCAGTAGGGTAGGCCAACCAGGTGTCATCAGTGAGATGTTTAAAATATGAGGTCCCTCAAGGACAGGTTTCTCTAGGCATGAGCCCTCTTGGGTCATGTCTAGACAGCAGCTGGGAAAAAATGTGCCCACTGCAATATGGACAGATCCTTGGATCGTTTCTAAACTGAAGGTTGCTTGTCATCAGTTCACCGGTGATACACAGCTACACTGAAAGTCTCTGCGTCCCGAGGTGAGGTCACAACATCAACCCATATTCTTCTGACTACGGAAGCCTCTATTCCCTCCTCTCCCGATCCCTTTCTCTCCCTCTTTTACATTGGATCCATTTGTTTTTGTGTGTTCGTAACATGCCATCCTCTTAAACTGGCTTTCGTTTATTTGTATGGTTATATTCTCTTGTATAACAACATAAGAACGGACATCCTGGGTCAGACCAAAGGTCCATCTAGCCCAGTATCCTGTCTGGTGACAGTGGCCAATGTCAGATACCCCAAAGGGGGGGGATGGGACAGAATAGGAAATCATCAAGTGATCCCTCTCCTGTCACCCATTTCCAGCTCCTGACAAACAGAGGCTAGAGACACCATCCCTGTCCATCCTGGCTAATAAGTATTGATGGACTTAACCTCCATTCATTTATCTAGTTCTTTTTTGAAACTTGTTAAAGTCCTGGACTTCTCAACATCCTCTGGCAAGGAGTTCCTCAGGTTGACTGTGTGCTGCGTGAAGAAAATCTTCCTTATATAGCACACAGCAAGCTATTATGTCTAATTAATAATACCAATTAGTAATTATTACTATGCTTTTAATATTTTCAATGTAAAAGCTATAAAGAAAGCGATTGAACCAAATGACTCATTACATTTTATAGCAAGAGTAGGAGAAAAGTCTCAGATGAGATGTCTTGAGCCAAAGGAACCAATAGAGTATAAAAGAAGAGCACTTTCCAAACCCAAATGTGGATGCAATATGTTGGACTGGCTGGAGATATAGGAGCCAATGTTTGGCAATCAACAGGACCTGTGCTCCTAAATCATTTGAAAATTTCACCCATATAGTTCAGTGGGTTTTGGCAAATACCACAAAGGGAAGTTTTTAGCTTACAACCCTAGTGGATCCTGCTTCCTCAGAGATTTCCTTGAACACTGCTAGCATGTTCCATTAGGCATTAACAGAGTTATTAGAAGGCAGAGCTAGGACTGATGTCTTGGATGTAATTCTTAGAGGAGGAAAATTAGTGATAACCATCTAGATGGTACTGGGTCCTGCCATGAGGGCAGGGGACTGGATTCAATGACCTCTCGAGGTCTCTTCCAGTTCTAGTGTTCTAGGATTCTATGTGTGGGTAAAATGCTCTCTCACAGTCAACTGTGGAATTACACAAAAGAGAGACAGAAACCCAGCACTGGCCTCCCATGCTTACACCGAGTGCTCAAGGTTGAAATATTCAGAATTTTCATACCTGGGAAAGGAGCGAGAAGACTGTTGGTATGTCCAGTTGCATCGCCTGACCTCTTTTATACAGAAAACAAAGTCTTTAGGGTTGACTCATTTTCAGGTTAGTTTGATTCTTCTGTATGATGCAAAACAATGATTCATCCCCTCTCGTGAACTTTGTCTATATTGGCAAGACGTGGATTTCCTGATCCATGTTTCCGGAGAGCACTGAGACGTGGGAAGGGGGTGTGCATGGGACGTGGGAAGGACAAAGCTGAGCATGTTCTGAGTCCAAACTACTCAAAGTCAACGGAGACGGTCTGGCTATTAGAAATAGATGCAAGAAAAGGAAGGATAATAAGGAGGCTCCATGCCTGGCTGTATCAACCTGTAGAAGTGCTCTGAAAGGCTAATGAGACTTTCTCAGTATGATGAGCAATTATTCTGACACTGGGGAGTTGATGGCTTGTAAAGAGGTGCACAAAAGCGGGGAGAAAATATCTATAGCGCTGTAGCTCTCGACATGCTACCCTGAGGCAAGTGGGGATGTGTGTAAAGTCTTTGCACCCAGTGCTCAGCAAGCATGCCCCGCTTCTCTGTCTTCAGCTAAAGCTCTGGATCTAACTTCTGCAGCCGGGTTCCCAGGTGTCTTTGCACGACATCGATACTGACTTCTGCATCGACATCCAACTGATTTAGGACGGAGGGGGTTATGGAATCTGACCTGAAAGCAAGGAACACAATCCTTGCCATTTTCCCTGTGCCATTTATTGTATCCCATTTGATATATTCTATGCTGACCAGGGCCATACTTAGTACTATTAAACTGGGGGAGACCATCTTCAAAGCTGTGATTTTATAATTTTCAGCAACACAGTAATGCAATGTTTTTAAATCAAATTTTAAACTACTGTAGACTGACACGGTACATTCAGAAACTGGCAACATATCCCTCGGGCTGGCAAATACCTGTTCAATGGCTTCATTATAATGGCTCTTTCACAGGTTCAATGTTCTGCGAATAGATCTGGCGGGCTTTTTCATTTCTAAATTAAGGAGCAAAGAAGCAGAGCCACAGAACCAGGATAGGAAGAGATGGATGGACATTAAGACTTAGTTGTGCCCCAAATTTTTCAGGTGCCCGACGCAGATCCGTGTTCTGCACATGGGTAAGGAAGGCCCTGATATTGACCCCAGGTTTTCAGTTTTTGCTGGTACCTGTGCAGAACTTCATTGTCGAAGAGATCTAGGTGGGAATCTGGAGGTTTGGATGGCTAAACAGGAGAGAGTTGTGGCATTGGAGGTACTTGGAAGCAGTGTTCCCTGTAAGCTGAGCACTTATGCCTCCATCTGGAGAGAGTCCAGTGCCGCCCCGCTGATTAACAGAACGCTCACATCTGGGTTTTGTTTCTACGTGTGGTACACTCCCACACATGCTGCGGTGCATGTAATACAATTTATTCTGCACATGGGTGGGGAAAAAAATCCACACATGGATGGAAAAGATTAAAGGGAACGTTGTTCAGAAGGAGTGGGGGTAATTTGGGATTTGGACAGCCTGGAGGAGATTGAGGCAACAGAGAGGGGATGTTTTCTTCTCTCTTTTCCTCGCTGGCAGGAGAAAAGGCGATTTGAAATTTTATGGTGGGATTAAATTCCTAGCTCCCTCCCCCAGCAACACTGAACAGGATCCAGCTACTCCAGTGCCGTTGTCACTGTATAATTGGTATTGCGTAGGCACCAGGTGAGTCCACCCAAGACTGATGCTCCACGGTGCAGGGCTCTGTACAAACACTTAGTAAGAGCAGCCCTGACCTACGGGGCTTATGAAACACAGGATCTGCCATGACACTCCGCACAGCTGGCTCACCTACACATTTCTGATAAGACGCTTTTCCCAACCATAAGGGCAAGAAACATAATTAAGCCCAAGTGAAAGTTTAGTTTAGAGGGCACAACTTAGAAGGCTCTGTGGGGGGTGGGGACCCTGACTGTAGAATTGCAGGAAATGCAGCACCTTGTTCTCTACACAAATCCCTCCTCCACCAAAACTGTGGTGACAACAAGGGGATGAACTGCGGGGCTTTATGATAAAGTGCGTGTTAGCACACACCTTTGATGCTTCGCCGGCCCACCATGTACTCTTCAGTCTCCCATGGACTGGCTGCTAACATTCCCTACCCCTGAGCACTAAAAAAACCTGCCCGGAAGTGTTTTTCACCTTTTCCTCCAAACGTGCCGTTTTCACCTCAAAAGGATGCTGGCGGAGCACAGGCAACGCTCTAGCCTGCCTCAGGCTTGATGTTTTGTGGGATTGCTTCCTGGCATGTAAATAACCCCCAGATGCAATAGTTTTGGTCAGTGCAAATGAAGGGGCGGCAGGTTGGTGTGGAAGGCGGGGGCGCTGTGTGTGGGGAGGGTGTATGGCTGAAATCAGTGGGAGTTTGGCTACTGATTTCAGAGGGAGCTGGGGAGGCTATACTTTTGGGGCAGGTACTTGGCTGTGGGTGTGGTGGAAGGTGAGGCGATGGTTACCTCAGATCAACCTGAATCCAATTAAGGGCTGCCGGTAACCTGGAAAACACTTGTCTTCGGGTGAGAGAGAAGGAGGAGAGGGGAGAGAGAAGCTGTAGCAGGGAGAAACAGCTTCTCCTGATGGGGAAGGAGACGCACCTCCCGGGAGGGAACAGTGGAATATCGACTGGCGCCAGAGGCCAGTGTTCCGGGACCAATCCTAGAGGAGAGCCAGGGAAAAGTGGTGTCCCTTGTTGCGATCTGAGTTTGTGTGTCTGTCTGAAGAGCACTGCTTGGGCCTCCCGCTGGGTAAACACTGGCAAGTAAAACCCGAGCGAGGAATAAAAACTCTCCAACGTGGGTCTGATTTACTCCAGGCTCCCTGCCCCCACTGCCAGAGGGGGGACATGGAGCCCAGGGCATGATGGGGATGCTTGCTTCTGCCTTTCTAATCTGTGAATTATTATCTGAGGAGGCAGCGGCTCTGTGGTGGGGCACCATTATAACACACACACACACACACACACACACACACACACACACACACACACACACTCTCTCTCTCTCTCTGACTCCCTTTACTCTTATTTGTCATGTGTTTTTCCTTTCTTTCCACAGATAGACAAGGCGTTTCAGAGTTCTGTGTTAAGAAAAAAATACATCGGGTCGCGTGTGATCAGGCTGAGGTATGTCAACGTACAGCCAGGCAAGCCAGGCCGAGAGAGAACGGAGCGTTCGCCCTGCCCCAGCGCCCTGTTCTAGCACGTTGTGTGGGGCAGAGCAGCCGTTCGTCATGCCTCTCTGCGGCACGTGCTGACTCATGGCACGTGAGCGATGTGCCAAGACAGGTGGCACATCGCTTGTCTCCCGGGTTCTGCCCTGAGCTGTTCATGTACGTTTCCAGGGAAGGGAGGAGGAACTGATTGTACTGATCCCAATGACTGGAGAGGTGGGGTCCAGGCGTGCCGGCAGGGAGGGACAAAGGGGGCAGTTTCCCTAGATGCCAGCAATTCAAAGGGGCACAGGGCTCCTGGCCGCTGTGACGGCTACTGCGTCGGCTGGAGCCCTGGACCCTCTAAATCGCCACTGGGGTGCGCCACAGTCTAGGCGGCACTGAGGAATGGCTGCCCCCAGCCCCGCCCCTTTCTCTTAAAGCCCCGCCCCTTCTGGAAACATGGAGCCAGGCCCCCCACACACACCTCGCCTAGGGGCCCGTGGAGGCTGTTGGCTTCCTTGGGTGTGCCTGCAAGAACTGACCATAATTTCAGTATGGAAGTGGGGGGTGAGGAAGGAAGAGGGAACTTCTTGGGGAAATGAATGTGACACTTGTGGTAAGAGAATCGCCTGATAAAAATAACGACAACCCTGAGGGTGATGCTAACCAAACCACCCCGGTCTAGATTGGGTTGGGGGCCTTGCCTTTTCCATGGGCATGTCTACTACACTCTCCACGTAAAGTGGAAAAAGGCCCTTTGATGCGCAAAAACTGTAGGCACAGCTACATCTGCCAGTGACTTTTTGCGGGATACTCAGAAGTTTCACGGCAAAAATTAAACCACCTCCATGACTGGGGTATAGCTATTACCCATCATGCTCTTGCAGTGATGTGCAAGTGTATAATGGTGGTTGTCCCTCACCTCACACGAGAGGCTCCCTTTGGCCGAGTGCCTGCACTCCCAGCAGTGGCAGCCCTCTTGCAAAACAACTCTCCTACCTCTGTCGGAGCCTCCAACTCTGTGGGGAACTGCCTCACTCTGGCCCAACACCTTCCTTTTAACTGGCTTGCTCAGCCCTGATTGGTCGCCTCCTTTGTGCCACTCTATCGTTCCTGGAGGACTTCTCTGTGGTTTCCCGAGTGGGGTGTGACAAGGCCACAAGCCTCGGGCAAGGGGCTTTGGGGCCTGGTCCACCCCATCACAAAGTGAAAACACATTCTTGCTGTTTGAGAGCCTTTAGCTTCTACAGTGTATCCCACAGTGCCTCAGTGGCCACTCTAGCCAACACCTCTGCTGCTTTGGCACCAGGAAAACAGACCTCCAGCCCTACCTCCGGAACTTTGAAACTCCCCTGCCTATTTTCTTGGCAATTGCTCACTTATCTGCCTGCTCCCCTCAGCTACTGGAGCCGACCCGTGTTTAGAGACGGGGCCAGGTGGGGAGGATGCCCTGTGATCACCAGCCCTTCCCACAAGGCCTGTTGTCCAAATGGAGAGCGCTGCCCTGTAATGCTGCAAATGTACACACGCTCTGATGCTTGGGGAAGTGGGTGAGCACACAGACCAGCTTGTTCCCTGCTCCCGGCGAAAGTGACAGCGCAAAAACTCTGCCAGTGTAGACCTAGTAAAATGCCTGGTGCTTTTTGAGTGGTACTGCAGTATATAATAATGGGTCTCTCGCCAGCAGACAACAGGAAAACCCAGTTTTGGTTCTGAGAAGTGTTCTCCTTGCTGCGGGTTGTCATCCTGAGGCGGATTCAGTGAATTCTGGGTTTTTTTAATGTATTTTTAGTGCATCAGGGTTTTTTAATGTATTTTCCTTCTGTGTCAATTATTTATTTATATTGAAGTAGTGCCCTGGAGCCCTAAACTTGGGGCAGCACCCTATTATGCTGGCACTGTCTTGGTCAAGAGATGATGGACTTAAGAGAAGCTCTCTCTTTTCCGGTCAGGTTCTCCTTGCAGTCTGAGTCATCCAATGATCCTAGAGTACAAAGCATGTGACATTCCAATTCTTGCACCGAATCCGATGTGCAGTAACTGATGTCCCCAGCCGTGGGCTGTGTCATCACTTAATAAACTGGGCAGGCAGAAGAGGCTTCACACACGCCTCTCTTAAATGGTCAGCAATCGTGGGAAAGTTTATACACAAAGAGAAAGTAGGAATATAAGGGTTGCCGCACTGGATTAGATCTGTGAAGTATGCAGTTTAATACTCTGCCTCTAGCAATGGCTAGCAACTGATTCTCTAGAGAAAGTAATAAAAAACTAATGATAATGGGCAAATTCAGTCCTTGTTTAACTTTCTGACTTTTAGTAAAATCTATAGGTGGGATACTTTGGCATGAACGTAGGCCACATCTTCACTAAAAGGAAGATTGACACTGCCACGATCTATCTTCTGGAGTTTGATTTAGTGAGTCTTAACTAGACTCGCTAAATCAAACTCAGAGGGCACCCTCACTGGCGACTGGTATGCCTGCTCCTGCGAGGAGTAAGGGAAGCCAACGGGAGCGCATTTGCTCCCATCAGCCTTCCACCATGGGGATGGTGGGGAAACTTGAATCAAGGAATGTCAAGTTGTGCTTATTGATTTGGCCTTCCCTTTTAGTGTAGTCCTGGCCTTAGCCTTCATCGTTGTTCATATGTGGAGGAGTTTCTTCCTAATCCTCTCAAGGGATGAGTTTAGAGTCTGGGGAATAAGTTTTGAGTCCCTCACTCAGTGAGGCTGTTTCCATACCTCTATAGATCATGTACATATTAGTTCAAAATGATCACATTCATTCTACACTCTAGACATAGCATTAGCCTGGCAGCACTCTGACGTGATTAAAGTTACATTATGTGTCTAAATGTTGCCTGGCTTAAACCTATGGTTCTTTAGCATTAACTCGTTCCCCCCTTGCCTTTTCCCGGTCTTAAAAAAATTACTTGGAGGCCCAAACTTTCACAGCTGGGTGCCTAAAATAAGGCCTCCGAATAGCATATCCAGGCACCTAAATGCAGAGCCTCCACCCTGCCTATTGACATCACGGGGAGCCGCAAGTGGCCAGGTGATTTGGGTGTTCTGTGCAGAAGGAGTGACCTGACCCTAAGCTCCCAGAGTGGCCTGGCTGCCCTGCACAGACACATCACTTCTCATCCTTTTCTTGCATGAATCTGCTGAGTCACAAGGTCCTGGCCCGTGCTCCCATGTTTCCAGCCCTTCCCTCTCTTTTTACTCACCCTGTGCTAGCGCACATTATGGCTTACATAAATCTGGAGTCATGGTGGGACCTCATGAAAAAGCAGGCCACCTAAGAAGCAGAGAGAAGCAGACAAGTCACTTGCCTCGGTCTTGTTGGTTTGCAGCCCTGATACCAGTGGAGTGGTGGCCCAGGTCGTGCTCACGTTCCTTTCCTGTGCCACGGACAGCCCAGCAGTCTTACAGAGAAAAGTCGACATCATCCTACTGCAGAAACTGAACAAATATTCTGGGCCTGTGCAAATAGATTTTGCATCTTCTACCCTCTCAGGCAAGTGTCTTATGTCTCTGTTTTGCTCTCGGAATGCTTTCTGCTTTGCCTCTCTTTGTATAATGTGCAATATTTTGCCTCGTAAATGTGAGTTGTTTCCTTGGTACATCTGGGGGTGAAAGTCCTCTCTGGGCCTAGGGCTACCACTGCTGAGACTTTGAAAATCAATGGAAACCTTGTCTGGGTTGGATGGGAAACTCACTCTTCCCAAGAAAACCTACCCAGAAAGGAAACCAGGAAGCACGAGGCTTACCTAGTGCCACAACTGAGCTGTGTTTTCAGACACAGGATTGTAAGGTTAAGGGAAGAAGCAAAGAGCTCTAGTGACCAAAGAGCCTGCTTATTTGAGCTACTGCCTTACTGACTGGGGCTGTCCATTTCCACCGCTACCGGCATTGTCATGGGAGTGAAATTCATCCTTATTGTGCAGGAAAAGCCAGCACAAAGCATATGGCCTATTGAAGGCCCTTTTAAGTGTGATTTAGAAGTCTTATGGGGCACACAGGTGTGTACTGTATTACCTCAGCAATGACTGGGTGCCTAAGGCCACGTCATCACTCTGGGGAAGATCGACGCTGCCGTGATTGATCTTCTGGAGTTTGATTTAGTGGGTCTGGTAAAGACCTGCTAAATGGAAGTCAGAGGGTGCCCCTATTGGTGGCCAGAACTCCTGCTCTGGTGAGGAGTACCAAGGAATGCAAAAAGGAACATTTGCTCCCATCGGTCTCCCACTGTGGGGACAGCGTGGAAACTCGAAACAAGGTACGTCGACTACAGCTACATAATTAACTTAGCTGGAGTTGTGTATCATAATTTGACCTTCCTTTTAGGGGGTAGAGCAGGGGTAGAGCAGGAGGAAAGCTTGCAGTGGTGGAAGATGCAGATATTTATTTACTTCTTTCTGTCCAGCTATTTACCCTTGGGTAATTTAAATCAACCCTTACTTTCAAAGGCAGAGAGAAAAAGTGAAGCTCAGACAATCCATACGCAAAGCAAAGACCCCAAATCAGCAGCTTCACAGAGGGAGCAAGAAGAGGATCCTTAAAGTGACAGTTCTGTAAATCTGTCCTATCAAAACTAGATATCTTGGAAGGGATC